TAACTTCCTGTGTCGGTTTAAAGGCCATCCTGAAAGCTAGGAAGTTCTGCAAAGCAGGAGGTGGCTCTCCACTGGACTGTGGGCAGCACAGGCTGTGTCTTTAGCATATCATTTCTCCTTTATTCTCCCACAGAGCTTGCTGGAGTGTGAAGGAAATTAGCATGAAAATGAAGGAGGAGGAATTTAGAGTTGTTTTCATTAAACATGGATGGCCTTGTCCATGAATGCTGAACACACCAAAGGGGCTGAGATGAGGGAGGAGGCAGCAGTAGAATCCGCTCGGAAAGGCTTCATCTGCATGCATTGAAAAACTGGGTGGTGGTTTTTTAATTTTCAAATTCGCTAGAAGGTTTTTTAAAAATGAAATAACAATGCTAAGAATCAAAGTGAACAACACAATTAGAAAACAACTAATCATGGTCAGACCGCTAGTGAGATTTAATTGCTGTGCCTAAGAATGTTTGAGAGTTCCGGTTATCACCTCAGTGCTTAAGCTTGAACAGAGATATATGAAAGCCATAGACATTAAAGTTTGACTTAGAAAAATATTGATAAATATTTTGAATATGAATTGATGAATAGTACTTGGCAATGATATTATTTCAAAGAAAGCAAATGACTTCTATGGCAAATACAGAGCACCTGGGCATGCATGACCTCACCAGCCATCAGTGCAAGCCTTCTGAAGATATTTGAGAGAGCACCCACTATGTGTCAGACTCTCTCCACTACAACCCGCTGCCTCATGTTTACCTGAATGAGGTAAATATTGGTCCTGAGCCACTAAGAACTCTCCCTTTATTACTTTGCTCAGGAGAAGCAAAACAAAATAGGTTTGTTCTTAAGGAAATGATGGCTGCATAAACAAATAATGTAAACACTCCTCTCACAGTCCCAGAAAGGAGATTTGTTATTTAGACCTCTAATCTCAGACTTCCAGACTTGCCCTCCACTCCTTGTGCAGCCCTGAAATTTTGTTTTTATTAATTACACTTTATTCATTTTGTATCCCCCCATAAGCCCCTCCTTCCTCCCCTCCCGATCCCACCCTCCCTCCCCTTTCTGCATGCATGCCCCTCCCCAAGTCCACTGATAGGGGAGGTTCTCCTCTTCTTTCTGATCTTAGTCTATCAGTTCTCGAAGCCCTGAAATTTTGAGTTGGTCAATTGGAAACTCATAAAGGAACTCCAGCAATCACTTTACCGGTTGGACTTTCTTAACCTAAGGACTGGCATTTTAGAATACTGTTGGCAAAATATTTAACTTTCCCATGTTGTTTGTGTAAACAACTTTTTCAAAAATCCTTAGACACTCTGGGGACACACCTTGCCAAGGCTTCTGGGGTCCACAGGGAGGTATAAGGGGCACTCTAGAAAGACACCCAAGACTTCACAGCACGGTTCACTTTGAGTAATATTCCTAAGATTTCAGACATACTTAAATGTACAGCTATTTTAGTTGTATTTGACAGCCCTGATTTTGCGATACTAATCCCTCTGTTTACAATAAGAGCTATTTTACCTCTTAAAATAGACAGGGGAAAACTGAGTGGGTCTCTCTCAACCACGGAGGAACCAGTATTCATCCCTAAAGCCCAGCAGCAGCATCGCTGGTGATGCTTTCGTCTTGTTTTTCATTTTATTCCAAAACGCATTCCCCAAACACAGGCTAATTCGTGTTCTTCCATGAAAGAGCTGATCTCTGTTTGGCGCATGACTGCTAAGTGATTAGTCCTCAGTCATATCCAGCAGGTTAGTGATCAAGCAGGCACCGAACCAAAGGACGAGCTGCTGGTCTCATCTGTGCTCTTTCCTCCACAGCACACGGGAGAAAAAAGAGAACGTCTGAAGCTGAAGATGCCTGGGTACCATTTTTCCACCTAATCTAGCAACAATGGTCTGTGCCACAGAGAGAGTGTGTTTCGGGCAAGAGGGAAAGATTAGTAATTTTCACGGATGTGCTAACCTAACAGCTCCACGGACCAGTGATTATTGAGTTTTACAGCTCATTCAGATATTCAAACATACTTGAGCAGAAAGTGATTTAGTGGCTAAAGTCTTCTCTGAGTGGCTAGAAAGGCCTCAGAGCTCTGCAGTCTCAGCCCTCGATGAGGCCCTGTGTTTGTAGTTTCTTGAAGTGGGGCTTCCCCTGAACTGGAGCTAAATGAAGAAACTGGCTGAGTAAGGGCAGCAGAATTAGGCTCTCAAGTAGACAAAATTAGAACTGACTTAGAGGTTATTCTTGCATTCTTCTTCAAACTCAAGCTATTAAAGAACCCAGACAGTATATCTTCTCTGCGGCAGGACACCCCTCACAGACAACATTACCCCACTGGACAGATCTCATCCTTCACCTTCACTTGGCAGGCAGTACTGACGATATCCAAGACACTGGCCGCACAACAGATACTGGTTACAGAACTTCGACAGGGTACAGTATGCATATTTTAATTGATATGATCAATACTTTCTCCTTCTCCAAAGGGCATACACGGGCACTTACAGCATACAAATTAACCCGAGAAGTGTTACATTCAACACATCCAGACCACATAAATGGACATAGCCACAACAAAACTAAGGGAGACTCTGACATGCATTCTTATGCAGAGGCCCTTTAAAATTATTCACATTTCCCTGAACATAAGAGATTCCCAAGCGAACTGAAAGCTCTAGATGAAACTCCTGAATTCTGTGGCCTCTCCCACTTTAGACAGTTGCAGTAGCTTCATACAGAATGTGCCTCCGAGACCAGAGTAACATGGGAAGAAACAAAGCCCCAAATTTAGAAGCTAAAATACGGAGGGAATTCCCAATAACCGAAACAGGGTGTCAAACCAACCCCCGTGATACCATAAACTCTCATCTAGGAACAAGCATAAGGACTGAGCTGCCAACTCTCTGTCCTATTTTATACCAAACCTCCCAGATTCGTCCCTGTACTCACAGAGAGTGCTCCATCAAGGGGCTATTTTAAGAGGTGGTTGGTGGGTGGAAGAGAGAAAAGAGAGTCCCGAGAAAGGGTGGCAAACACCTTCAGCTTTTGTAGCTGCAAACTGGAGCAGAGAAGGTAGACCCTATTGCCTCCGGTCCCTGATATCTGAAGCAAAGCTACTTCAAGTTACAAAACCCACTAAAGTTGGTTTCATTTTGCATCCTGAAACACTCCAGCAAAAGAGACTTCATCAACTTCCCTCCCAGCTGGACAGAAGCAAAAACCCAGGAAGGCCACAGGGGGCATTCCACCTTCCTCGCTGAGGCTGGGAGGGAGAGGCACAGGACAAGCCCACACCGTGGGCTTCTCTAGGCTTGGCACCCAGGGCAGAGATCAGGCTTCCCCTCTGGGCTTGTCCTGGGCGCCTGGCTGTCAGTACCATCCCCAGAAGCACTCACCAGGAGACTCTGAAGCACACAAAGCCGCATTATTGGGAGGCTTGCAGACAGATTATAAATTTACTGGGGACAATCAAGGCATTTAGTTACTTTTGGCTGCAGAGCTGGTGACACACACATGCACACAAACCTCATTCTTTCCTCCTTCTTCCCTCTCCCTAGCATCTCTCTTTAGGAGACAAACTTCCCCTTAGCTGGGAATTCCAGAGAAAAGTGGGGATGGAGCAGGTGGGAGAGAGAGGTATACAGGCCTGGAAACTCCAATATAAACTGAATAGTTTCATTCAGGAATAAAGCACGGGCCAGTTTAATTATGGGTAGTTAGTTTTCATGTGGATCTGGGAGTCCCAGAATCACAGCTCTAGGCAGCCCAAGAAAAATGTGTGCCTTGTGGGGCAGAAGAGCAGTGTCTCAGTCCCCAGAGCTTACTGGGGACCATGGGAATCACCGTGGATGAAGGACACGGCAAAGAGCAGCCAGGAAGGAGTAGTGGCTGACTGAAACAGGCCCTCTCCTCCTTCAGGAGCTGCTCAGTACCATTCTTCCTTGGGGCTTTCTGAGTGTTTGGGGGCTCCCACAGCCATTTCCTGTCTTCCTTTCATTAGGCTTGGCTTGGCAGGCTGCAGTGGCCAGTGAGCAGTCGCAGAGCTTCAGGAGCCCAGCAGGATAAGCTTTTGGGCACAGGACTGGCTTCCTACTCCTACTGAAAGGCTAATGGCATAGCAGTTCAGGGGAGGGGGGAGCCTGAACACCAAAAGCAAGTGGGTCACCTGACCAAGACTGACAACCAAGAACCAATGACTCAACACTCTTCCCTCTGGGTGGGGTGTTGTCTGTGCCTCTGAGGAAGCTCTTCCAGTCAGAAACTTACTCAGGCTTCAGGGTTTGATGTGCCGTTACTGGGAGAACTGAAGACGGACTGCTTCCCAGAACCACAGTAAAATGCTCGCAGTGCCTTTCCACAAGTGCTGGGAGATAAGACTGCTTGATCTGAGGGTTCAGAATAAAGACTAGACTGGGGCTTGGGGAAGGAGCTCATGAAGATCTTGGGAGTCCTCTTACCAAGCAAGCATTCCTGCAGAAGTCTGCCTGAGGGGTTCCCTCACTTTTTTTTTTTTTTTTTTTTACTGTGAGGACACTATGTAATGTCAATCACAGACTCCTCTGAAGCCCAGGTGAAGAGGACTTCAGAGGTGGGAGGAGGAGGATGGGGTAAGGTGAACAGGCCAGCTGAAGCTAAGTTTCTATCAAGTAAAGAATGTTTTACTTGTTTTAATCAGAGCCAATGTGCTAAAGTATTAAGATTCTGCAGGATTTCTCAGCCATAAGGTTTTTCTTTCACAAACTGGACTTTGGAGCCTCTGGAGAACCCAGGCTCTTACCTGGTGAGGAACACACTTTGGGTGTAGGACAACGACGATGAGCACCGGTGACTTTGATAGTAAGAGCTTACAACCACATACTCATACCCAGCAGCCTTTGAGGGACTGATACCTTGGCCTTCTTCATGGCCATCCATTCCACATGAGGCCAAGACAGCCAGCCACCACCTTTGCAAAAGGCCGCATGACTACAGCCAGAATCATAGGAGAAAACCAGGTGCCTTACCGCAAGCAGGGCCGAGTTCCTCTGGTCCCCGGGGGTCGAAGCTGATGGCTGCTGCTCTCGGTTTATCCCACTGTTATCATTACTGGTCAGCCTGTGCTGGTGATGGTGATGATGATAGTCTGGTGGAAGTGCTGGGGCTGGGGCTGCTGCCTGGGAGGCCACAGGAGGGGCAGCAGGGGGCGGTGGAGGGGCTGTGGTGGTGGCAGTCGTGGCTGCAGCCTTAGCGTGTTTGCTAGGCTTCCTTGCCCCCTGGCCATGCTGAACCAGGCTGAGGAGCTGCATGGTGCTTTCCCTCTCTCGGTCTGAGCTCTCAGCCCTACCACGTTCATAGCGTCCTTCACAGCTCAGGTGGTGCTGTCGACAGACAGCAATGCGAGCCCTCAAGCGTTCCACAATAGCACTGTGCACTCTCGGGGTGACTGAGCCCCCTCCAAGGAGCCCCGCCCCAGAAGCCCCCCCTAACCCTCCTGCGGGGGCCTGCGGGGGCGCTGTGTCCCCCATCTTGTTGGACACAATGATCACTGCCTCTGGGATGGTGAGGTGCAAGAGGCTGGGGCTGGCTATTGCAGGCAAAGCTGGTTTCAGTGTTCAGGGCCACATGAATAGAGGTCTTCAGAGGGTGGGGAGCCGTGGAGAAGGTGTGGGGGAGGGGAGCGAGTAACCGGAGGGTGGGGAGAAAGATTAGAAACCAATTGGAGAGAGGAAGTTGGAAACAAACCCTGATAAACTTAGTCTAATTGCATTTGACAGCTCAGGAGAACTTGGAGAGAGTTGGTAGATTGCTCTTCTCCCCCACCAGGCTGACAAGAGCCTCTAGGTACTTTGTAAACACAAAGTCTGGGGGACAGTTCAGGAATTCAGGGATTGTCAAGGAAGGGACAGAAATACACAGCAAAAGGAATCAAAATGGTCATTAAATAGAGACCCAGAGTCCCCTCACCTAGTTGCTCCGGAAAATTATTTATAGGGTGTTTCTGCAGAGAAACACATTTCTGTCGTGGTCTATGGAACCAGCAGCCTTCACTTTTGCTCAGGTTAAGAAACAAACAACAGGACTGTTTCCCAGGGCTTCTGAAGTCATGTTCAAACTGTGTGAGATCAAGGAGGACTGTCTTTGGTTTCTCCGTCCCTTTCTCTCTTCTGGTGTTGAGGTTTTCTCCTGGGGGGGGGGGGGTGTACAGCAGGATGTAGTCTTCTCCCCAAAGGAGACAGCTTTTTCAGCCTTAACAACGTCAGTAATTGGACGTCAGGACCATGCTCTTTTCTTCAAGCTAATCCAATCACCGGCAAAAATCCTGATTCCCTCTTAGGTTTCTTAGTCTTAAATGAAAGCAGTCTGAAGTAACTGGCTACTGAGAGGCTCCTTCAACACATTTTCCCCCTTTCCCACTTACGTTTTTTATTTCTCACCCCCCAGTTCTATTCTAATACAGTAGCAAGAGAGACAAAGTCTTCCAAGAGTAATTTACAAACGATGGTCAAACTTACAAACTTCCAGCAAATTGCACCGAGTCATGTCCAGCCACTTTTCTGTCCACTTTTGTACATTCCATGCCCGGCCAGTGGCTCAGAGGGTCTGGACTCCCAAAGGCAATGTGGCTCCTATCTCTTGTATTGCTTCGCTTTATAGATGGGGGGGGAAAAGAAGAAAAAAGTAGCTTGTATTTTCCTTTCTCTTTCAGGTCTGTTCCGAGCGCTTTCGTGACACCGGCTCCCGCTCCTCGGACTCACGGCGAAACACAGGCTTTCATTGTGCTGCGATAGGAGAGGGAGAGAAAGAGAGAGAGAGAGAGTGAGACAGAGAGGGAGAGAGGGAGCCAGCAGGCTGCAGATGGGGGAGGAGGGCGGGAGCTCAGGCTCCCTGGTGGAAGGCTGGTGCCGCTGCTCCAGTGAGTAATCGCAGCCAGGCGCCGGGGAACGGAGTGCAGAGGCCTCCCAGTGGCTGAAGAAGCAAACCCTCTAAAACAGCATCTCTCTGCAGCCGGCTCTGGGCTCAGCCTCAGCCTGGGTGCTGTGGTGGGGGGAAGACTGGGGAAATTCCCCAGTCTCCTTGCAAGTGTTCGAGCGCTTCTCAGTGCTAAAGAAATTCCCAGGCAGGGACTGTATTTTTCCCCTTCCAGGCCCGCAGTCCGCCCTCCTGAGGATATGATTTTCGGTTTTCAATAAGCTGTGAACGACACCGCTGAGCACCCCAGCAAGAGCAGGGTGAGCGCGGAGGAAAAGCTCATTTGCACAGTGAGGAAGTTGGTGAGTGAGTGCTGCCTGCGAGGTGCTGAGAGGGAAGTCCACAGCTGTCTCCTAAAGGGACCCACTCCTGTGAGCCAGTTAGTTTGGGCAACAGGCTGGGAGGTGATGAGCAAATCATGAGGGATAAACAAACATTTTATCAGGCTGATATTGTCATTACCTTGAGAAAGGAAATATATATATGTATATATACCCCAAACCAAAACAACAATAAAAAACCCCCAAGGTTTCTCTGAAAATTCACCAAATATAAGGTGTGTTGTCTGTAACTGGTTGGTATATTTAACGTACCTCATAATTTCGAGCACATTCCTAACAAAAAAGGAGAGGGGTAATTCCTTTTCTTCAGATGGTGCAGTTTGTAAAATATTCAACCAGACCGGACAAACCTGTGCGTGCTTGTCAATTATAGAGAAGAAACTAAGATGGGCACAGTATTGGAAGTCAGGACCAACAAAAATGCAAGCGATGTAATTTCTAAGTCACTTGGATCTGAGGTCTCCAGACACAAAGCCTCATTCACTTAACAGATTCTAGAATGTCAGTCGTGTGATCCTGCTTCAAACATGAGCTATGGGAAGAAGCAAACTAAATAATGTAGCTCAAGACTGAATTTACCCACAGTTCTCTCCCCCACTTTTTCCCCACAGGTCCCAGGATGTTAAGTTAGAAATGGAGACAGGTACACTCAAATAGGACATGGTATGTCTTTTCCAAAATGCTTGGAATCCAAAGCATTTCAGATTTCAGGGGCTTTGGATTTGGGAATATTGGCTTAGAATATCCCTAATCCCAGAGGTCCCCCCCCCCAGATCTGTCATGTTAGCTCTATTTAAATAATTCTGTTCTGCAGTATCTCAAAAAAATTTTTTTTGAGTCAACTACTTTATTTGTATAACCTTTGACTCTTTTGGAAACATCCTTCTCCATGTCTCCTTCAAGGCCAAGTTCCTCTCCATTCATGTGGAGAAAGGAGAAGCTGTATTTATTAGGAAAGACAAATAGAAACAGAGTCTCCTGTATCATTAAAAAGTGAAGGGTTTTGACCATTGTATATTTCATTTTTTAAAAGGAGTGTTCAGTAGTGCAACTTCTACTAACTTGCACTTCTGTCATATTTAGCAGTCACAGCCAGTGAAAGAAAACTATGTAGTATTTAAATGAAAAACACTGCTCATTCCAAGGCCCATGGTAACACAGGTCTCAACAGTGGCCCTTGGCCAAACAAGCTACTCCTAGTAACATAAATTATAAATCAGAATGATAATATTGCTAAATTGAGACAAAATTTAACTGATATAAAATTGTCCATACTTTTAGAGTATGGTGTATTGTTCCAATAAAGGTGTTCACTGTGTAATAAACTCTTGAATTCAGGTAATAAGCTCACATTGCAAGTGCCTTGAGCTGCTGAGCCATCTTTCCACCCCCCCCCCTTGTTATTTTGATAGGAGCATGAATTAAAAGCTCGGGGAAACAAGACTCAACAGCTTTCCCTACCACATTCCTGTAGGTAAGACAATCCTCTGGACTCTAGAGTCTAGAGGGTCTTTTGTATACTTTTAAAAAAATTATGTTTTACCTGCATGTATGTATGTGTACCACATTGCACAATGCTGTGATGGTTTAGGCCAGAAAAGGGCACTGAGTGCCCTGGCCTGGAATTACAGGTGGTTGTGAGCCACATGGGTGCTGAGAACTGAACCTAGGTTCTCTGCGGGAGCAGGCAGTGCTGAGCCAGTGAAAGGCTGCTCTCCAGGCCTCTTTTATGCACACTTATGCACCTGTATGTAGCCTAGCCATTTAATTTCTGATTGCCAGTATCACTGACATCATTCTACTTCTGCACATCATTTATTATTTATTTTAAAAAATCACCACCAAAAGCCCAGCACATCACATATATCTCCCTCAATACAAGAACATTCCTGGAAATACATATTATTAGGATCATCCAGTTCTTCATTTAGACAATGAAGACTTATAAGATGACTTGTTCCATATCATGCAATTAGTAAGGCTCTTCATACCCAGGTTCTCCTAACCACAAGGCTTGCTGCCTTAATGTGTGAGTGGCACTACAAGAAGGCCTAAGGCAAGGGATGCATTAATACCTAATGCCCATTCTGGAGTGTAAGCAGGTCAGATGCTATCCAAAGAATGAGTGTTGGGTACAAACACCTGAATATGAGAGCAGACGAGTCAGGAAATTCAGTTAATCGTACCCAATTGCTTATGAAAGAATTATTTTTTTGCAGTTCATCAGACATACTTTAGGGATTCTTCCTTTCCCTATACCTTCCTTTCCACAAGTCACTCATGATCCGAACACCCTCCCATAGTCTATCAGCTCTCCTCAGATTCTGCTTTGCTTCCCTCCAACACTGCCCTTTCATCTTTATCTTTTGAACATGGCTTCACTTTTGTTTTCTGGAGTGAGCAGAGGAGTACATCTCCATGTGCCAGAGAAATATAAATTAGCAACAGACATGTGACAGAAATGTCTGCCTCACCCTTGACTCACTGCTCATCATCAGCTTCAGTATCCTTGCACTTCCTGTTTTTCTTTCCTTCTTTTTTTCTTACTTACTAGCTTGAAAGACCAACAGAAATAATTATAGAAATGTACTGCAGAAAATACAACTCATCTCTATCCATATAATGACTTAATAAAACATAGTCTCATGTGATACATACACAGAGGCACAGGTCATGAATCACACAATAGATAAAGCTAGCTAAAGTCAACCAAGTCTTCCAGTAAGAAAAAGCAAATAAAATGCCACAGAACAACAGGTCTCATCTTTATGAATTAAAGATGCAGAATACACAGCTTACTCTGAAAGCAGTTTAGTTTATTGCATTATGGAAAAATTAGGAAGTACAAAGTAATGTAGGCACAAAAATAAGCCTTTAAAGTGCTTTTGGCTTAATTTGTCTCTCACATCTTCAGATTGGAACATATACATACAAACTTACATAGAGAAAGGTATAGTTAAAAAATCATAAATATATCTCAATCTTTAATACATTCCAGATAAAACTGTACAGAAACAAGACAGAACATTATACAGAATGAAAATATATATAAGAAGTTCTTCCTGAATGTGACGATTGAAAGACTGGGGACCAGACATCAATTTATAAGGGAAACTTTAGCAGAAGCAAGCTCTCCTGTACCTGGAGTAGATAAGCTGTGCTCTCATTCTGAGGCTAGGATATTGAATGCAGGGTAGTCTGAAGCTTCTACCATGGCTCACTGATTGAGGGGACATTAATTAGACATTTACACTGAAGATTCTTTAGTATTTCCAAGGGGTACAACAATACATACATATAGGTATGATTCTCACTATATATGTATATTGCATATATAGTGTGGATGTGAAGTGGCATGTGTTTGGTTGCACACATGTGGACATATATACATTTGTGTCTGCATGCATGTTGAGTTCAGAGGACAGCCTTGGGAGTCCTTAACAAGCTCCAGTGATTTTGCTTTTTGAGGCAAGGTCTCTCACTGGCATGAGTAGGCTGTCTGCTTGGCCAACAAGCCTCTGGGATCTGCCTCCTTTATCTCCCCAGTAAGAAGATAACAAGCACATGCCATCACATCTGGCTTTTATTTTAAATGTAGTTCTGGGGACTGAACTCAAGTCCTTGTGCATGTAAGGCATGTAGTGACTGAGCCATCTTCAGGTCAGTCCAAATATATTTTAATGCATTCTATTTCTACTAAACTGACAGGGCATGATAGCACATTCAGCTGCTATTCATCTGTGGGAAAAGCATTGATA